TTTGTAGATAGTGACTCGTCCTCAGATGATACAAGTAATAATAAATATTAATTATATTTAGTTATTTATAAACTAAACAATTAGGATAAATCTAGTTAATATATCCATTATAAATTAGTAAAAATATGGGAAAATTATATTAATATACATAGAATTTGTTATTTAGATTTTAATGTGGCTTTAAGTTAGACGATAATTTTTCTATATATTTTTTACTTAAAATTTTCCAATTTGACGGGCAATAGTTCATGTGGAAATATAAATTTTTATTCTAAACATATCGAAAGAAAGTTTATTGTCTACAGTTAAAATTATATTAGGACCAGAGTTTTAAAAATATACATAATGCATAATAATATAATTATTTTACATCAAACAAACTTTTACTCAAACCAAAGTCAAAAAAGAAAACCTAGTACAGAAGGGTTGTGACAAATATAGAAGATATTCAACTATAATAATAACACTATCATAAAAATACGCTTCGACACAAAGATGTTAAATGTCACAGTAATTGTGGAACTCATAAAATGTAAAATTTTACACGCCAATTTCTTACAGTAAATCAATGAAAAGTTTAATGTCCAAAAATTTTTCAAAAACTAGAAATTGCACAAAATTCTTTATTCAATAAATTCCTTTTAGCTTCGATGCGAAGCTGAGAAGGTATTAATTTTACCATGATGTGTTTATTTTTTTTTTTGTGTCTGTCACTACTTTTTCTCAGCTCTCACTGGACCGATTTCTTTTAACAATACGTCAAAAGATCACAAATTGTATCTAGTTGAAGACATTACCCTTAAAAATTTAAAAATTTTCCCTCGTTCCCCGCAAATGGGGGAAATATCCAAAAAAATTACAAATTTAAAAATCGACAAATTTTGTCATTTTTTTCACTTTTTTTTCTTAAAACTTCCATAACTTTTTCAAAAATCAACAAATCAACATAATTTTTTTTTAAACTAAAACCTTAGATATTTTCCTTTCATTTGATATAATTTTTTTGAAAATTTAACACTTAACCTGCTCATGGGGGGG